GTTATGGGCATTACGAGTTCGTGGTGATGCCTTTGGGGCTCAGCAATGCACCAGCGGCGTTCATGGACCTCATGAACCGAGTGTGCAGGCCGATGTTGGATCGATCGATGATTGTGTTCATCGACGATATTCTAGTGTATTCGAGATCCAGAGAGCATCATGAGGAGCACCTGAGGGAGATCCTTGGAGTATTGAGATCGGAGAGGCTTTATGCCAAATTCTCCAAGTGTGATTTCTGGTTACGAGAGGTCCAGTTCTTGGGACATCTTGTTAATCAGAATGGGATATTGGTCGATCCGGCCAAGATTGAGGTTGTGATGAGTTGGGGAGTGCCGAGAACCCCCACCGAGATCAGGAGTTTTCCGGAGTTGGCCGGCTACTATCGGAGATTTATCAGAGGTTTCTCCAAGATTCCCATTCCCCTCACCAGATTGACCCGGGAGGACGTTGCTTTTACTTGGGGTCCCGAGCAGCAGGCCCCGTTTGAGACTCTTCGCCAGAGATTATGCGAAGCACCGGTGTTAGTCCTTCCGGAGGGAATGGAGGATTTTGTGATGCTACGGGGAGCCATAGTACTCACTAGACAGCGAGAGGGTGTTGTGATGCTACAGGGAGCCGTAGTACTCACTAGTCAGAGAGGGTGTTGTGATGCTACAAGGAGCCGTAGTACTCACTAGACAGCGAGAGGTTGTTGTGATGCTACGGGGAGCCGTAGTACTCACTAGTCAGAAAGGGTGTTGTGATGCCACGAGGAGTCGTAGTACTCACAGAGAGGGTGTTGTGATGCTACAAGGAGCCGTAGTACTCACTAGACAGCGAGAGGTTGTTGTGATGCTACGGGGAGCCGTAGTACTCACTAGTCAGAGAGGGTATTGTGATGCTACGGGGAGCCGTAGTACTCACTAGTCAGAGAGGGTGTTGTGATGCTACGGGGAGCCGTAGTACTCACTAGACAGCGAGAGGTTGTTGTGATGCTACGGGGAGCCATAGTACTCACTAGTCAGAAAGGGTGTTGTGATGCTACGGGGAGCCGTAGTACTCACTAGACAGCGAGAGGTTGTTGTAATGCTACGAGGAGCCGTAGTACTCACTAGTCAGAGAGGGTGTTGTGATGCTACGGGGAGCCGTAGTACTCACTAGTCAGCGAGAGGGTGTTGTGATGCTACGGGGAGCCGTAGTACTCACTAGTTAGCGAAAGGGTGTTGTGATGCTACGGGGAGCCGTAATACTCACTAGTCAGCGAAAGGGTGTTGTGATGCTACGGGGAGCCGTAATACTCACTAGTCAGCGAGAGGGTGTTGTGATGTTGCGGGGAACCGTAGTACTCACTAGTCAGGGCATGACGCAGAAGAATTTTAGACTTGGGTAGCCCTAACATTGGAGTTTTTGGGAGCCTGGTGGTCGGACCAGGGATGAGACTGGGGTCTCCTCCATGATCGGGAATCGTTCTATTCTGAGTAAAGTGTGGATATCATAATCAGAAGGAATTGGATAAGTGAGGTACGCATGGGTTGCGGGTCATGGGTCAGGAGTTGAATGATTCATTAGGACGAGTGGTTCCAATTCTGGACTGGACCAGACTCTCGAGTTGAGTTCGATTCTAGTGGTGTATTGAGAAGGCAGAATGAGATTCCGGATTCAGAGATGAATTTCTTTTGGAAGGGGGTATTGTTTCCATCTGGTGTCTTAGACCTGAGTGGGTCAATTCGTTGGTATGAAAAAATCCCGAAACGCATGGAACTAATGAGTAGTAGACGACAAAGGTCGAGGGTGAAACGAATTCCGTATTCGCTTGAGGTAAAGCGAATTTCGTGACTTGTGTGTCACACTGGGCCGAGATAGCTAGTGTGGGAAGGAAGTCAGTGAGACATGTTGAGGTATGCAATGGGTAACCCTTGGAGGTTTAACTGCTAGGTTGGGAGATAACCTGGTGCTCAGTGTTGAAAGGGATATTGGAGAAGGGAGCCGGGGTTTGATTGCAGTACAGTGGATGGGTCCCTGGTGTGATGTGACCCTTTCATTCTTTGAAGTATGATCTGAATTGTTTATCATGCCTGGTTTGAGTGACCGGTAGTCAATTTTTGGGCATTGACTTGTTTTATTAGTCGCAACAAGGGAATCAGAGGGGCGGTGAGTTGTCAGGGTTGTTATTCGAGGAGCGAATAGCATGGTGATATCTTGAGAAGGCAGTCTGGCAGTGGTACAGGCCACTAGAGTTTCCAGATTCTGGAGAGTCAGAAGGATTATCTTAGCGGCAGAGGGGTCGGTTTCGTCCCGAATTTAGGAGTTCCTGTTTGGGTTCAGGTATCCATGGAGTAAGATATCGTTTTGGTGTGAGATCCTTTCAGTGGTGCTTTTCGGGTGTTTGGTTTCTATCTATGTGGTCGAGGAGCGATTTCGAGGGCGAAATCTAATTCAAGTGGGGGAGAATTGTAACACCCCGAAATTCAGGTATATCTCTTTCACCTTTCTTCTTTTTTAAGTTGTCGAAATTAGCCCAAAATAGGAAATGGTGACAAGTGGGTACGCTGGGCGCACTGAAGATTACGCTGCGCGTACCCTTGGGCGTGATTTTTACGCGGATTCTACCCATGTACGCTGGGCGTACCTTAGTTTACGCTGGGCGTAATGGGCCCAGACTTAAAACCCTAAATGAGACATGAGCACTATAAAAGGAATGCTATGGCCTCCATCCCAGCCACCATTTCCAGATAGTGAAACCCTAAAAGAGCTAAACCTTCGTTCTAACTTGTGTGTGTGTGTGTATTTGAGCTTGATAAAGTGTTCTTGTGAGATTTTGAAGAGAAGAAGGGTCATTGTAGAAGCTAGAGTTGAAGTGCAAGCCTTGGATCTGAGCTTTACAGAGGTTGGAGCATCATTTGCAGGTAAAAAGCTCAAAGCTTTCTTAACCTTTTTGGATTTGTGCTTTATGGACCATTTTTAGGGTTTTTGTCCCAAAGATGGAGACTTTATGATTAAAAGGTCTCCATAAGCCTTGATCTGCCCCATTCCAGTATAAAATGTGTTGTAGATCCATAAAAATCCAATCTTGGACGTTAAGATTAAGTCATGCATGAGATTAGGGCTTAATGGGAAAGAGGATATGTGTTTGAAGTGATTGGTGACCTTTACAGCCATGCGAAGGCTTAAAGGTTTCGACTTTATGGCTTAAGAGACAGTAGAGTGCCTGGATCTGAGATATGAGCTTATGTCTTAATCTATTAAGACCAAAAATCATGAAAGTATGAAACTGGGACTTACGCTGGGCGTAATCCCAGTACGCGCCGCGTAGGGGGTCAAGTTCCCCGATCCTGGATGACCACGGAGTACGCCCCGCGTACAGAGTTAGTACGCGCAGCGTACCTCCTGTCACATGTGGACTTTTGGACCATTAGAGGGGTAAAATGGTCTTTTAGCCTTCTGAGAGAGCATAGGAAGGGATTAGTCTAGCCTTGAGATCCGTTATTGATTTAAGATAATTACTTTATGTGATTAGGCGGGGGCTAGGTCATTGTTTTGAGCTCGGGGATATCGAGCACGTGAGTTACTAGACATCATACGAGGTGAGTCTTCTCACTATGCCTTACCTAGAGTGGTAATTATGTGTGACCGGAAGGTCTTATGTGCTATGACGAGTATGTGATATATGTTGCTATGTGATATGTATATGTTATGTATGTGATCAGTAGCATAGTATGGACCGGAAGGTCAACGTGATATGGACCGGAAGGTCAACAGGGTATGGACCGGAAGGTCAGTAGTGTATGGACCGGAAGGTCAATATGGTACGGACCGGAAGGTCGACGGGGTAGGACCGGAAGGTCTACTTAGATCGTGGGACCGGAAGGCCCCTGAGACACATGGATCGGAAGGTCTCGTAGAGCTATAGCCTCGAGTGGCTTATGTGTTGTATGTAGTATTTTGGGGAACTCACTAAGCATTTATGCTTACCGTGTTATGTGATATGTGTTTCAGGTACTAGCGAGGATCGCGGGAAGGCGCCGGCATGATTTGTACACACTGATAGAGTATTATGTATTGGAGATTCTGGGATATGTTTTACTGAGATAACATTTGATACATTTGAGTTTTGAGATTACTTTATGAGATATGTTATGTAAAAAAAAAATGAAAAATTATTTTGAAAATTTACATCGTTACACATGTATATTGTATTGTCGATACCAAAACCTAAAGAAACTTTAGGGGCTAGGGCGATGGGCCTGGATGGAAGTGGGAGTAAGAAGATCAGAATTAGAGAGGTAGAGAGGTTGATGGGGGTTGTATGTCCCTATGCGCCTGTACTCCCATAGCCATTGCTTATAATATCAAAAAAATCTCACTTTTTCAAACATTAGAGAGAGATGTCCAACTAGTCCTAATTCTAAAACTGAATAAAGTAAAATCTCAAAAGCCAAGAATAATAAGTCTCCCAAGTGTCTCTTTGTTTGTCAAAAGTATGCTCTTTATTAGACGAGTTATAGTTTCCTTATTTTAGTATTAAAGTTACATAAGGATTCCAAATTGGACTTTATAAATACTTTTATTTTTAATGAGAATGAACGCCGATGACTATCATCTCTGGCGACCTCCACTAATTGCCGTTGCCGCCTGTGACCCTCTTAAGCAGCAATGCCTTAACCAACTTTTGTCTCACAAATATCCTTCCTATAAACCAAAAATTCCTCGGCAGCTAGTATTATACTCCTTCTATCCTTTTTTAATGGCAAATCTATTTTACTCTTATTTTACTTTAATACCATATATGTCTCAAGTGGGATTTGAACCTTCATCTTATAGAAAGATCAGACCTTTTGGTCTACTCCTTTTATCATAATCCCTCTATAGTAGATTTTCTTTCTCTTTCTTTATCCCTCTCATAAAAATGAAAATTCATCTTGCATGCCATTCTAGACTTCTAGATCCTTTATTTTCTACACATTAGGCTACCAGACATACATTCACGGGGATAAAGAAAGAAGAATAATGATAAACAAAGTGCGGAATAAAAAGAACTTTTATGTTATTGGGATAATGTTAATATTGTTATTGTTGTTTCACTATGTGGTAACGAGTACATGTGAAAATTTAACCCGCAAATGGATACATATATTGGTCTTAATTACATAAATACTAATACCACATATGACACATGGCTAAAGAAACTTGATAACAATTCGAGTTGAGCCTTATAAGCTCAAGTTCCGCTCATTTCTTTCACCACCAAACAAATACAAATGAATTGATTTTGACTGGATTTGGTGAAAGAAACGCAATTGCCTAGCTTTTCTGGGCCCTTTGATATTCTTATGCTTCATGTGTCTAATTGAAACAAATCAAGCCACAAGCCACATGAAGAACATCGACCAAAGGGTGAGTGTCACTGACGCCAAACCATACGACCACATCATAATCACCGAACATTCACTTTCACCAGCTCCAAATAATTGTGTTATTGTACCTACAATAATCACATCAACAAATTTCACAACTTGTCATCCAATCGAAAATCCAAGAAATTAAAACATGTACAACAAATTTCACAACTTGTACTCTCATACCAATGTTCATGGAAGGTGGAAGCGCAAACTGTAGTAAAAGAACGTAAACATAAAGAGGATCTGCATGCACGAAGCCAAGGTAAAGCGCTCCTTTCACTATAAAAATGCCAATAATTGGCAACAAAACTAACCGAGCTGCTACGATTCCAAACACAAGTGGTAACGAGACACCAGATGATCCTTTCAAACCTAAAAATCATGTCCTATTAATCAATATCAACTAACTTAATACACAAGAACTCGATTTATAATCAAAGTTTACTTACCTCTTAAAAGGTTAGCACCCAAAATCAATGTCATAGTCGGGATCGCCGCATCCCTAAGACAATGGTGAATACGATTCATCAGTGTCAGACTCGTTGTGGGTCCCATTCAATAACGTGACCCACAACATGAAATGAAATATACAGGTTAAAAAGATCATACCCTACTAAGGATGCAGAATCTTGAATCACGTGAAGAGGAGCTTCGGTGCCTACTAGTAGCCTGCGAATTGGGGCGACCATTCCAACTATGAGGCCTACAAGCTTTATGATAAAAGAAAAAAAAAATATTATAAGTAAATTCACATTTAATATGTTTCAGGTTAAATAATATCCATTTATGAGTGGGAAAAAGCAATGTACAGCTCCGGTGGTTGATGGTGACAACACCGCTTTTAAGTTAACAGCTCTTGAAAAGTTCCCGAAATGTTGCTTCATTGTACCTAACATTCCCTGAAGTCAAACTCATGAGTAAATTATATGTTTGACTTTATTGAATTTGAAATATGAAATGTGAAAGCAAAAAAACAACCTTCTCTTTTCCCATCATGTTAACATTAGATGTAGATGATGGAAGCAAGCTTTGAGTCAAATCCTCTTTCATGGTTACTGTTTCTTTGACAATATTGTTACCAGAATCTTCCGAGAATACCCTTAGTAGGTTGTACACGAAAGTCCACACAAATAACGTTCCCATCTATAAACATGTTGTTAGAACTTAGAAAAGATAAACAAATATCCCATAAATTAAACGTGTTGAAACAAATAGTTATACAAAAAAATACATACTGCCATCGATAATGAAGCATACGCCATGGCATACCCATGACAAACATCAGGATCACCAAAGGGACTTCCTTTCTCTTTGCATACAGCTGGGACTATAATCAAAGGCAAGTTTCCCAGGTTCCCTGTAATTCACAATCAAAATTTAAAATTTTTGTTAACTTATAGGGGGGTATTTTAGGTAATTTACCTGCTGAACATACACCTAAGATGAGGCCTTTTAGATGTGGAGGTGGTTTTGTGATGATAAAAAGCAGCCATCCAAGTGCTGCTCCAATTATGAATGTAATAATAATGTTAACAGGCATAAACCACCTGAAGTTTTTAACAATTTTAAAGGCTAATCAACTGAAATAACAAAATATATCAATATAAAATTCATTAAATCGAACTTACATAGAAATTATGCTTTCGAGAGTGATTGTTTGAGCAAGATTGCTCGACACAAGTGCTGGATTAGACACAAAGAACACAACCTGGTTATAAGTACGAGTTTTGTGAGTCGCGTATTGAGAAAAATCGAATCTTTAATCAAATTTAGCAATTTTCTTGAACATTGGTATACGAACCCAAGATTATGACTTTCCAGAATCAGCAAAATTGAATCTTTAATCATCATAAGCTTAATAGATTAAGTGATTAAGGGAATTGAAAATCAAACACTTACATTATTGACGTAATTTCTTGCACTTTGGCCCAAGATATCGACAGAATCCATGGCAAGAATTGAGCCAAGTGCTGTGATTATCAGAACTTTGAGAATAGGCGTAGAAGCGGTAGACAGAAGATCAAGAAACCCCATCTTTAAAACAAAAATGTCTCCAGAAATCCGAAAGAAAAATCGAAATGCGATTAAGGTTGTGAAGCTGAAATATGAAAAAGAAAACAAGAAATGGTGAATATTATATATGAACTGAAATTCTTGGGACCAACATCATAAAAACACAACAACAAGAGGCATGCATCCCGAGAAAACCCATTTAAGTACAATAGGAGATACCAACCACCTAATTGATTTTTTTTTATTTAATACTATTAGCAAGATTAAAACTTACTGAAACTAAGTATTAAACTTCAAATTCAAGAAAACAAACCCTGCAAGATTCAAACTTCAAGATAGTAATTAAGTTGTTTTATACTCTTATTCCATTGATAATCTTCAAAGCATCTACTATGCCCCACAATTTACTGGTCCACGATTTGTTTAAAATGGTCAAAGAGTTTAATTTAAGGCGGCTTATTAAGCTATTTGGCAAGCCACACCTTTTTTTTTTTTTTTTTTCAGATTATTGCAAACTAAGGGGGTGTTTGGCTTAGTTTTTTTTTTTTTTCAGATTATTGCAAACTAAGGTAAAAGATGTTTGGCAAATGCATTTTAAAAGCTGCGCTTTTAGATTTGTATACAAGTAAAAATGAATTTTTTGGAAAAGTCAGGAAAACCTACTTTTTGTAACTTTTCCAAAAATGATTTTTGCCCCTGAAAAGCTAAGCCAAACACCTCCTAAAAAACAGAGTATAAGATATATCTTTTTTTAAAAGTAGCGGATTGGTGTTTCAATGAATTAGGGGGATTTTATTGACAACCAAAACATTTTTTATACATGTTATTGACATGACCTGAATTGACCAGCGATGACATCTACTTTTCCAATTCAAATCGAATTGTTTTATATTTTTAGTTCTTCTCCTTTTAATTTACTATTATTTAAATAGCGTTGTTTTTATATTTTATATTTTTTTTCTTTTTTATTTATTGTAATAACAAAATCAATAATTTGCAATCTTTTTTATTTTATTATCATTAAACAATTAAATTAAAAATAAACTACATGATTTATTCATATGATCTGAAAATTTGTATGATTGGTCTCTAACTTATTTTTTTAACCCTGTAGATCCGTCAAACTTTAATTTGTTACATATTTTGTTCGTAACATACATAAAAATAATATTTTGCACTTATACATTTTTTTATTTTCTATTAGTTTTTTTATATAAATTAAAGAAGAAGAAAGAAGAGAAAGTTAGTACACAGAGTCTTCCCCTGCCTGATTGATCTAATGAGAAAGAAGTAGGCTAAGTCAAATAGAAAGTGTGTGTAAACAATAAGTAATGACTTGCTTTGTGAGAGCTCAGTTTCTAAGACGAAGGCTAAGAATTCTCTACTAGAGGGATTGAAAAGATCCAGGGTAATTTCTGAGTCTTGATGGACCTTTCTTATTATAGGCCAAAGGAATAGCTAAGGACTTCTTCCCTCATTCTCATCAAATTGGGGTAGCTCAGGAACTCTAGAATCTCTCAGGAGTTGAATAAACTCTTTTATGCTAGTGGAATTGGGAAGCATGATAAGTCCGTACTCCACATTCTAGCTTCATCCTTGGTTTTCAAAGAAAGGAGCTGAAGGCGTTCCTGTGGTCACACCAAGCTATTTCTAGCCCCATTTTTTCTATGTCGATGCCTAAACCTATGCCTATGAAGGCGAACGCCAGTATAAAAAAAGAGGGTAAGACCACAGATAAAAAGCGGCGCCCTCGGGGGGATGTATCCGGTTCCATTTTCCTAGGGGTAAAATTTGTTTTTCAATTGGAAGTGGTGCATATTGTGGTTGTTTCGGTACTTCTGTAAGCCTTGCACCTCTATTGAGTAATGCCTGAGTCGCAGCATCCAGGTCAACGATTCCCTCGTCTGAGAATCGTCATTCACGCACTATTCCTCCCCACTAAAAAAAGCGGTCAGAATTTCTCACTTTTCAGGCAGTCTCATCCGTGTAAGAATTAGGAATTCCTCTTCCAACTCGTCCCAGAATGGCCGTTATGGCAAAGAACAAGAAGAAAACAAAAGGGGAAATTTGTCCAATAGTCACAAATGGTGCCTCCACAGGTTGACATCCGATCCAACCTAGTAGTAAGCGATCCGCCAAAAGCAACCAAAATATTCCTTGGTGAATCGGGCGAAAACTTGAACTACGTACATACATACTTTTAAAAAAAGGTAAAGCCAACAGACATATAAAAAATGGTGCTATTGCGGCTACACCTCCCGCTTTGTCAGGTATACTACGAAGAATGGCTTGGATCGGTAGGAAATACCATTCTGGTACAATATGAGGCGGGGTGGGCATCGGATTAGCAGGTATATAATTGTCGGGATGCCCCAAAACATTAGGAGCATAAAAAATAAAAATAAATTAAAAGGATTCAATCCTTTACCTTTCAATGACACATTCAAGGAAAAATATAAATTTTCGGGATTTTTATCCAAAGGTCAATTAAAAAATGAAAACTTGGATTATAAAATTGCAAAACAAAATTTTAAAATTGGATCAATACTTCCAATTGAATGAGTATGAATAAAGAATCCATGGATGAAGATAGAAAAGTAGATTTCTAATTTCTAATCGTAACTAAATCTTCAATTTTTCTTTGCATTTGTAGCGAATAAATTGAAGCAAAATAGCTATTCTTCAAAAGGAGTGAGAAGGTGCTTTTTGACTTGGTATTAAGGATCTCTGCTCTTGTTAAAAAACACAAGTCATTAAAAACTATTTACTTCCACAACTTTTCTAGATTCAATGGTATTCTCTTGCTAAAGCACCTCGCATGTAAGCACCCGAAATACAAGCTCAAACCTCTGATGAGGAATAACAAGATTTATGAGTTAGCTGTCTATTTGGGTAAAAAGATGTTATTCCGCTTCAGGGATTCCTATAATCTACTTCCTAGTAAACTTAGTGAGCTGGCTAAGAGTCTCTGTCCTGATCTAGGCACAAAGGGTTCTATCAACTATAGTGAAGTCACTCCTGAGAAGCTGGTTAGTATGAGAGATGAATTGGTGGAATATATGAAGCAGGACATCTATCTCGCTGTTCAGCGTGATCTTGAGCCGATCTTCTCAATTCCATAGCAAAAGTCGTTTCGAAATGCCAGGGCAAAAGACGTATGGACTCACTAGCTATATCGCCTTCGTCGAAGTCATTTCATAAAGAAACCAAGAATTCTGCTATTTGATGAGCTGCTTACCTCCCTTGATTTCCTATTCGTGACTCGAAACAATTCGTTATTGGCAGGCTGAGCTACTGATTCTAAGAAAGCAGCAACACCTTACTATCATCGACAACAGCACGTACATCATCAACGCCTCCACCTAACACCTCCGTAAGGCCTACCATTACCGTTACTTATCTCTCTTTCTGACTGACTGATAGAACCGTCAAGCTGCACTGCGTGCCATTGGTAATGATTCTACTACGGTGCCACAAATTCGCAAGCTGATCCTAAGTAATCGTTGTTGTTCATTGGATTCCGGAGGAACTACTTCGTTAGGATTGAGGAATTGCTGTGATTCTTCCTGAATAGCCTGGATTCTCCCGTCGAGAGTCTCTTTGAAAGTCTTACCTAAACTCTTCCGACTGAATATGATAAAGCCTATAAAACAACGAGCTACTATCATTTCTTCATTATAGATTGAGATCTTCTTCGAACTTGATGCACAAATAGATAGAATAGCAGCAAATAGCATCTTTCTAGCCTGCATATTCGTGGAACTCAATCTCATTTAGAAAGCCTTCTCTCTATCTTTCAGCAACTGAACGGGAAGTGGTTTAGGAAAGGACTTTAGAATCGGATGCGCTCGCCCAGCGAGAAAGGCCCTGACCCTGCCAACCAAGTCAAAATAAAAAAGAAAGAAGAGAACGAAAAGAGAACTTTGTATTTTGCTAACTCTCTAGGAGTTGCTAACCTCTTATTCTCCTCCTACCCTTGAACTCTTCTTGAATCGAGGAGTTAAAGCTCAGCTAGGGCTGTTCCTCTCTCTGATGGATGAGCGGAGAATAGCATTCTGATATGATTTCTTAAGAAAACCTCAGTGGGGCGTGCCCCAACCATAACCCAAGCGGGCCCAATGAGAAGAGACCCGCCCTCCCACTCTCTCTCATTTATTCAGCGAAAAAAACTACATAACGGGGGCCCTTCCGTTCAGAGGTAGCGAATCTACTTTTTTATGTTTTCGGGGGGGGGGGGGGGATCTCTTGCATGACCAAGTACAAAGTAGAATAGACTTGTATAGAAAATAGTAATTCTCATTCTTTCCAATTCTAATGGGAAGGGGGAGTACTGGGTTGATACAAAGCCTGTTGATGTCAAAGACCTGTCTAGATTAGATAACATTAGCAAAAAATTAGTCATGTTGCTAAGGGCTGATGTAACACATCTTAAGAACGAGAATCTCTTTCTCCATGAAAAATTATCTCATAAGACTCTAGCTCCGTAGAGCAGGAGAATGCTCAGGTCCGTCTACGTGTGATTCCTCATTTTCTTCCTAAAACGTGAGGTGAGCTGCTGATTCTACTCTTGGAGTTACTCAATATAATGCTTCCTGAAAAGGATTTGAACCAAGAAAAAAAGAAAATACCATAGTAGATCTATGATTAGCCCTCGGTCGGGATGGTCCTGTCGAAGAACTTTATTCATGCAGAGAAAGACACTTAGGATAGGAGACTTATGGATGCAGGGTCTGCAAGTGAAACCCCAAAACCTAAAATCCCCTAATGCCTATCAAATAAGAGGTCAGTTCGGAGGTCTTCGTCAACATGTTACGAAGCTCCAGTCTGGCGGTCAACTTGATGCGGGAGAGGCATGAGTGCAGTTCGATCTTGTGGTGTATTCCTTTGTAGTAAGTAGGGCCTCTTTCTCGTTGATCAGTTCGCCTCCGCTTTATTGAAAGGTCTCCATTCCTACGGCGGTTTTGTCAATGAACCCGTGGATAAGTAGGCCTTTCTTGCAGACCGATCTTCTGCCGAGTTCCTTCCTTCGTAGTCAAATCTGATGATACGCTTTGGCGATGTTACCTACCAAAGAAAAGGCCTGCTAGGTGATCGAAATCGCTCAGGTCAGTGAGGACTCACTCACCTACTCCTTATCTAATACTTTCTTCTATCTACTGAATTAAAAAGGTAACAGTCTTTTTGAGAACCAAGTGGCCCTTGAGGAAGACCTTCAGAAAACCCCTCTAACTCGGGGAAAGGTGTTATGGCTAATTTATTATGGGATTCCAATGGTGAGCACAGGCACCACTGGATTGCTTGGGACAGCATTTGTAAATCCATGAAGGAGGGTGGGTTGGTAATTAGACAGGAAATTGCATGCCAAACTTGCGGGGGCTTATGTTGTTGGTCAGTTTCTCTGGGGCAAGTTTATGAGATCTAAATAGGGGCATCCATTGGATGTGGTGTCTAAGCCTATTTCTTTCTGATTTAAGCTCTCATGTTTGGAGGAATGTTTTCCCTCATGTTAGTACCATTCTAGGCCTTCAATGACCCCGGATGAAATTATGAGTATTTTGCTATCTCCATTCAATAAATTCAATCTATGCGGGGCTGTCTTTTTGAGGTTTATGAGGGCAAACTTCACTGGCTACTTCATCCTGATGGATGCCTTCTCTGTTTCTAGTGCATGGGAATCGACGCGGGCCTGGGGTACCCCCTTTGCTACTCGTACTCGTAGATTGAAAAAATTCTGTCAGCTTCGCAGTCGGGCGCTTTCCCACTTCCTTTTTAGCTTTGTGCTTCATTACTAGTCCTAAGGCATCTTAAACACGAAAGACGGGGACCAACCCTCTCTCTCTAGCTGAGATGGCGAGAGGGAGCTGCTTCGAGGAGGCGACACCCACTAGTTTTGTCCGGATCAAACTCTCCCCAAAGCAGGTAGGTGAGAAGGGCTCGGCTTCATGCAAGTCTTTCACCAACGGCTGGAACTGAATTAGCGCGATGCGAAAGAGTTCGGGCTTAGTCGGCAGGGATAAGATTCTATTCTCGGAGTCAGAACTACTCCTATGCAAGGTTGTCGTCTCATGCTACTAGGGCGTCTCCCTTCTCTTCACCTTCCTCCTTCTGCTCTTGCTTGCCACTCCATTAATTATTATCAAGCGTAATTCGACGGAAGCTATTCGAAAACTATTGAACTTGCTCCGGAGTTTATGATTTGGCTTTTGTGTGTCACTAATTACGGTTTACGATTGGATTGCTATCTTATCAAATGAATGCTATAGTCATTGAGGCTAGAAAAATCCATTAAAAAAGGAAGGGAAGATTACAATTTTTTACCGCAAACTTGTTTCATAGTTTTCAACTGAGCGGCAGACCCAACACGATTGACAGATAAGCCGACGTTAATAGCAGGTCTAATTCCGCGATAAAAGAGCTCTGTTTCCGAGCAGATTTGTCCATCAGTAATGGGGATCACATTAGTAGGAATATAGGCTGATACGTCTCCAGCTTGTGTTTCAATGACGGGTAAGGCCGTCAAGCTACCTGCGCCTGTCTGGTCCGATCGTTTAGCGGCTCTTTCTAAGAGACGGGAATGTAAATAGAAAACATCCCCTGGGAAAGCCTCACGGCCTGGTGGTCGGCGTAACAATAATGACATTTGTCGATATGCCACTGCCTGTTTACTAAGATCATCATAGATTATTAATAGTGATTGAATGCCTGAACACTCAGAGATTCTCGCGAGTCTATATATGTAGATTACATAAAGGACTTTCCACAACTAGTTAGCCGGCGGCGGCTATGCCAATGAAATTCAAGACCCAAGCAGTAGACATTAGCAGTAGAAGGGAATCGGGAAGTCTTGCTTCGACCATTATAATATAATCTTTATTTGAATTTTAGATTGAAAGATTTCCAATCTTTTACAAAATCCCCAGAACAGATGTTTAGAATCAACCAAGTATCAACAATCGCCTTATCTGTTGGGTAAAATTTGGGTGATTTATATCAGCAGATAATAAATTTTGATTCGTTTGTTGCTGAGTATGTCTTCTTCAGTGATCCATTTCATGTCAACTCTAATTAGTTATAAAAAGGCCTACTTTACAAAGGGAATGTAGTTTCCCGGGAACCTTTTCCCGGTAACCGGCCGCATCGGCCCCTTCGTTACCGTCAGCATTTGGTACTCTCTCGATAGCTTCAATAGTTCACTGAAAGCCTTTGGTGGCTATTCATTTAAGTCTTTGGGTAGCACCACTAGACCTTCAACAAGGTGGAAATTCTCGTATTCCTTATGTACACGTTCCTGCGGCTCGGATGAGTATTCTTGTTTATATCGCTACGGCTATAAACAAGTTCTTTAAGACCATGTCATAGGGACGGTCAATAAGGCGTCAACAGTGCCGTCTAGCGCCTTTTAGGCTTAGTCACGTCTCCCCAGATAAGGAAGCAAAGCCATAGCACGAGAGAGAAGGCGTTCCTTTGCCGTTTTATTTCGAGGAAGCGCTCAAGTCGAGACTATTATATGTCAATAGAGAAAGCGGATTCAGAAAGAAAGCGAGTCCTTTTAGTCTGTAATCTTGTAAAACTTTTTTTTCTGGGTGGAAGCTGGCGGCAGGGCTTGCTTAACCGGATACACGGAATTGGGATCTCTGTCACATGCAAATCTTTCTATCGGGAAAGCCTTGCTTATTCAATTCATTCAAAGGGCTGATTATTTAGAACCCTACTCATAAGATAAGTAAGAAAGCGTTGGTTATTCCCGACTTGAAATCCATAAAGGACTTTAAGGGAGAGAAAATGGGGGGCCCTAAAATGCCTCGGGACGACTGCACGTTACATCATAGCAGCACGACCAAATGGAGGCGGAAAGCCGGTTGGGCGCTAGCGCTTTATATTATACTAATATAATATGAATTCAATTAAGTTAAGGGCTTTTCCCTTATTAGTAAAGTTGCTCGAGGCCGGAAAATGAGAATAGAATCTAGAAGATCTGGTCGAATGGTAGAAGAATTTATGGATTCGTTAGGAATCGATAGTCGTTGGCTGGACATACGAGTCACAACCGGCCGGTCATCTAGATGAAAATCTTATCAATTGGAACGAAGTTAAGGCATACCTTAAAGCCGCCAATGTCACTGAAGCTACTGGGGATCTAGACTAATCCAATGCCACAACATCAAGGGGGACAAGTCACCACTCAGGGACCTACCCCGGTACAAACTAATCCAGGACTTTCTTCCAGCGCTAACACCATCCGAGCTTGCACTGTCGCTCGAAGAGAGATGCTTGTGAGACCCTCTCAAGTTCTTGAATTCGAAGGAGGTTCTGAGAATTCAAAAGTCCGAAGTCACTTTCTTTGTCCTTTGAAATCTAAGTTCCAAAAGCAGACGAAATCGCCATAAGAGAAGATTGCCCTCCCGGTAAGGAAGAGGGGAAAAAGGCGCTGTCATCTATCTCGACCAGTTTCCCGAGGCGTTGGAAATCCAGACCGGCTCAGAGAATCACTGGTGCTATTTAGCCCTTCGTTTCGACAACAAAGAAGTCATCTTTGACGATTTCCCATTCCTTCCCTACCGACCCGCCTCTCTTCGCCATTCGGTGCCTCTGCCTTCCCTTTCTATAACATAGCCAAGCGCCCTCCCATGCGAAGGGGTCCAGTCCAAGATCATACTGTTCCTCTACAAAGACAACAGACGCTCTCAACGGCTAGGCGCCACTCTCTTTCTAAGTTATTCCAGCTTCTTCATGATTTCGTGCCGCGGTGAACAAACAAAACAAAAAAGAGGGCCATCTCAGTGGAAGGAGAAGGACCTGCAAATAAGTCATCAAATTTGGTGCTTTTTGATCCCCAATTGCTATGGGGAACAAAGGACGAAATACAATTGATTCCTCCATTTAAGTGGTTCTCGCTTCTCCTTGTTCCTGTTCCTAACTCCTCCCCGAGTAGTTCCCAATGTTTGGCACTTTCCATACTTGATGGGTGCAACATCAACAAATTCGCTCATGATCTGGTCGTCCCATACCTTCTGCCTGTCTCATATGTGTGGAACCAGGTCTTTTTCGGTTCCAGCCCCCTCCCCCTTGAATACATAGGGTAGGTAGGACTGGGTGAGAAAGGGTTCCCTGTTGCCAATAAACTTTCCCCGGCCTTCGATTCCCCTTACTCATAAAGGGTCTTACAGTCGGTACTAACTAAAGAAAAAGATGGATCCAGATCTACGGGCCGCCCGGCCCCGGACGATGAGCATAGGGAATCTATACTCGAACGTTCAACTGGGCCCCTGACAGGATAGGTGAGGAATCTTGATATTTTTTATTGAAGCCTACAACTTCTCCGAGCCGACTAGCATCCCTTTCCACTACGTATTTCTCGAACAAAGAAGACAGTTTGACTGAGAGTGAGCAAAAGCATCTTGTCAATTGAAACTGCGATTAGTAAATTGATTTCCAGAATCTAGTTGGACTTAGAGTCTGATGCCTATCTTGTAAGTCTTTACAAAATGGACTTTGACTTTTGAAAGTGTGGAATTTGGCAGGATTGAAGGTATTAGGTAAAAATGAGTTAGAGGAATATCAAGAATTGGAATATCAGTCAGAAATTGAATAAGAGAAGCAAAGACGGGTTATAGTATAGTAGAATCAGTAATCATCTTGCGGATTTAGTTTCAGGGTTCATTTTGACTGATTCTTTAGTTGAAGCAACTGATGCCCTAACTTAACTCGCCTTACCTTTGGTGCTTTCTATTTCTATAAGTAGTACTTGATCCCGGAAAAAGGTTAAAGGGATAGGCTTGATGCCAGATCCACTTTTAGGGTTGACTCAGCAGTTGAAGAAGGTTGTAATTTGACTAGTTGTTCTCTCTTTCCTGTGCTCGCTAACTTTTTCATCCATGATAATTGACTAAACTCTGTCAGGTGCTAAGAATCTTTCTAAAAAAATATATCTGGCAAAACGCAATTCGTCGAGTTCAATCCAAGGTGCACCTTGCCTTTTTTCAGGTAGCTTTCTTACGCCTATTCAGCTAGGGGGCCATTGGTCATAGCTTCAATTCGTCGAAGGAAAAAAAATAAGAGAAAGAAAGGGAAGTTTTTTCTTTCTTTCAATCCAAATAAGAGAACAAAGAAACCACTCAAAAATGAAAGTTAGATAAAATCAAGAAGTTTCTTCTGTTGCTTCGGCGACGTTTCGCCTTCTCTTCGCTCTGGACAGGAGCGCTAGTGGACACGGGGAGGGAGCAGGCGAAGCGTGTCGTTCGTAATGGAAAGAAAGAGACCACTACTTCGCTTCTTTGTTGGATCGTCGGCGCGAACACAGTGGTCTCTAACCAGGACCAGGAACCAATTCGAATTTTGATCTTGACATGTCGGTGGTTTTTAACCGTAGGCATTTTGCCAGGAAGTTGGTGGGCTCATCATGAATTAGGTCGGGGTGGCTGGTGGTTTCGGGATCCCGTGGAAAATGCTTCTTTTATGCCTCGGGTATTAGCATAAAGATCGATTTCACTATCTTTCTATCGAGTACCCCTGGATTGTTAGAATGTTCTCTACCTCATACAGGACTGGGCGATCACTAGCTGAGGCAACCCAGCCTATACTATGGATCAAACGGATAAAACATTCCATGTTATGAAACCTATCTTTCCAGAACTCAAAGCACAATTTTGCAATCTGAAAGCACTCCTTCGGTGTCAGGAATCTAGAAAGAAGGAAGGAATTCCATCAATAATTGCCAAATCCTAAATTCAGTCTTCACTGATAGATAGAAAGATAAATTATGTAAAGCAAAGAAAAGAGAAGGCTTGAAATCAAATCCATCTTAATACGAAATTTTGATCCTCCAATGGGACCCTTCTCTCAATTGTCGATCCTAACAGGGAGCTACATTTCTTTTTTTTATTTAGCGTAAGTAGAATTAACATAAGTAGTTTAAGTAGTAGCGCGTTACCACCCTGAAAATAAAACCCTAGGGGGGGAATCCTTTATTCTCAATCAAGATGCCTCAACTGGGGAAATTCACTTCGAAATTGATGTCGGAGGGTTTTTCCTCTTCTCTTAAGAATTTATCTGATAGGAACAGGCTAAACAAAAAGAAAAGGGGCTGTTTTTCGTCGGAATAGGGGCTTGGACCAACAAATGATAGGCCAGAGGGATGGGCTCATTCGACTAATCAGTGATCCCTGGGCCTACCTAACACAGATGTCCCTGAAATGAAATAGTCGTGAATGGAGCAGCAGAAATAGCTACTAGATCGGGAAGTGCCTTAACTACGAAATTATCTCTTTCTGTCACGTAGGGAAAAGATGCTGAGGCTTATTTTGTTTATTTACTTATTAGCACTCACTAATTTATTACCTCCCATTGTTCAAAGATTCAACCACCACTACCTACGATCACCATAAGTATGACACATGCGCCTTATGTGTCTTACATGAACACGCAAAACACATTAAATGGATTGTTATTTTGTTTGTGAACGTGTTGAATCTTGAGAAATTCGGACATGTTCTATCAGCTCGACTGAACAAGTTGTTGACATTTTTATTAAACCACTCGGTGCCAAGCAATTTCATTATCTTCTAGGTAAGTTGGACTTTCGCAATATTCACATTTCAACTTAAGGTCTTGAGGGGGAGTAAAGGGAAATGGTGTTCATGA